TGCTGTACGTTTCAAATTCAGTACGAAACCCTTATGACGCCCCGTTATTGCTGGAGTACTATTAATAGCAGCTGAAAAAATATTACGAACAGGAATTTTTCTCTTGAAAACACTTGCTCATGGTATTAAATATCGATTCTTCCTTTGAATTGGTTTCCAGATTTTTAGCAAATAATAACTTTTGACGAATTTTTTCTTCTTTTATGAATCGAACGTATCATAAGAGTAGTGCTTCGATATTTGATTGAGTTGATTCTTCAAGCTGAATGGAAAATTTGAAAAGCTTTAATTGTAGAGTTTGATCTTTTTAGGTAGCATAAAATTAGACCAAACCTCTAAAAATTAATCTGCGAATTATTGCTAGGTCGTGTAACAGGGAAAGGATGTAAATGACTCTTTCATTAACTCAGAAAAAAAAAAAAAAAAAAAAAATTAACAGTCGGCATTATTTCGTGCTTACAGAAGCTAACAATTATGGCTTAAATTAAAGATAATGGATGAAATAAAACTAATGAAACTAGTTATGGCCTAACGGCTTCACAATTCCGAAAATGAAGCTGGCTGAATGGCAAGAATAACTAAACGCCGTAGAATACTTACTAATCGCGAGAAAATCAATTTTAGCAACATGGCCTTCAAGTAGACAGAACATGCTCTGATTTTACCCTCTAAAATCTTCCTTTAAATTCTCTGTACTTTCTACCTAGTTTGAATATGGCGTGAGCTAGAAATTTACAGTCTGACAAGGAAACAGAAAAGAGATCAACAGGAAAGCGTATTATCATAAAATAACTGATTCAGAAGTCAAACAGCAAAAATCAGCGTTATATTTTCAAAATTTTTACAGGACTAGTTTCGATGGTTCCACCGAACCACCGTTCTCAGTTGCAAAACCGCAAATGAACAAGATAAGAAATAATGACCAGACAAGATAAAAAACAGTCTTCTGTTGCTCAACATTGTTGGTCCGAAAATCACACTTTCAATTTTTCTGCTGCCAAAATTATTCAAAAAACATCTTCCATTGGAGAACTGGATTTTCTAGAGGCATTTCACATTCAAAAAAGTCTATCTGTTCTAGTTAACGATCCTAATTCCAATCCATCTTTGCCTTCGGCCTTTAAAGAAATTATGTTTTAGTTCTGGTTTCACCGACAGATGGCGCCACTTGCTTATTCTTGTCCAAGCATTCTTATCTTGTTCGGCCATTATTTCCTATCTTGTTCATTTGCGGTTTTGCAGCTGAGGATGGTGGTTCGGTGGAACCATCGAAACTAGTCCTGTGAAAATTTTGAAAATATAACTCTGATTTTTGTTGTTTGACTTCCCCGTGTTATTGTGTCTTAATAAAATAACTGGTTAGAAATTTAAATGATATTTTATAAAGCAATTGCGTAATGATATTTCAACGTCTTTAGCCATTTCGTCTATTCTTATTTGCGCCGAATTATTACTCAGAAGAATTTTTCTGATGATAGCTGACTGTGGCTTATGATAAAGAAAGTTTTGATTACGTCTTTGACATTGCCAACTTCAATTCATTGTCAACTGTATGTGGTTTTCCCGTACATACTCTACCATAGCCAGCATGAACTTTTCTTCCTCATCATCTGGTACATGACGCGCCTGTGCTCATCCCAGAATATCAAAAAAAAAAAAAAAAAAAAAAAAAAAAAAAAATAGTACCCTCATTGATTAACACCAGACATGGTATACTGCTCGTAAAGTAGTAAGAAATAGCACCAATGCATACTTACTTTTCCCACTTTTACAGCTGCTTTATCAAAATAATTGTCTTCAGTGATCACGGATCGTAGTAACTTCTTTTCTTACTCGTGTACAGAGAATATACTTATTTACATCTCTGGTTGTCACTTCATGGTCGTCAGCTTTTTCCCTTTCATTTAAATAGTGTATATAGTTATTTAAATTACCGAGTTATTTTAGCCGCGGTTCAGTTTAAAGTCTTGATATATGTAAAATGAAATGTACCGAGAATATTTGGATAAACCTCAGTAGTTTTATTCCAGGTTCGATATTGGAGAATGCTGCATCATGGATTCAAAGTTAAGAACAAAAGGTAATGCCATTGCTGAAAAAACAATTAACGTTTTTGGATGCATATTCTTTTCAAATAAAAAATGAAAAGCAAATCAGCGATCAATATATAACTAAAGGATACAGTCAGTAAATTTAAAACAAAGATGACTGTTATTTCAAATTATTTCAGATGTTTAATGGTGTCGTATTTTCGCAGACAGTAAATATCATGATTAGGAATTTATGAACAATTGTTATTTTACGTCTGGTTTCTACCTAACATACAGAATTTCGCAATTTTGTTCTAGAATACCTTTTTATATTAAAAAATGTGTTGAAACATATAAAAACAGTAAGGCAATCTAAGGAGATAAATTTCGCATTTTACTCAGCCAAGGGAAAGACTTAGATACGTTGCTAAGCAGAAAGTGGTTGCCTCTGGCAACGTTAAATTGTCGTCTTAAAACTGCGACATTTCAGAATTTCGGAAAAATGTTGAAATCAAATAAAAAATTCAGGCACGAAAGAAAATATGCTTGACTCCGCAACTGGATATAGAGACCAAAAAAAGAGTAAGCTGAGGATAACACGGAATACCTTTATAAACATTGTTAGAAAACTGGATTTGCGACTGGTTGACATTATACTTCAAGAATTAGGACAAATAAATGATTTTTGTAGTAACTTCTTAAGCAAAATAAAGCAATTGAATGTGTGGATAAGATCAATTGTTTTTGTCTTGTATGACTAAATCTTAGCAACCATTTTTTTATATGCCGTTTCAAGGAATCCAAAAGTGATTGAGGATATACACATATGTCTAAAACTAATTATTACTAATACAAGCTCCGCAGAATAATTTTCTTTTATTTTCCGATCTGATCAATATACGATTACTTTGTGTTCCTTAAAATATAATTCAATATAAAAAATAAATCGTTTATTTGAAAGCAATTAATTTTGGTAGAATTATAATTAGAATTTCACAATAGTAACGAACAGGAATATGAGTTAAACATTTGGCAAAACGTTGATTTGCAAGAATTTGGATTTTTAAGTAAAGCTTTTCTAACGAAAGTTGCAATATTACATAATTTCAAAAAGGTAAATTTACTTATGATAGAAGAAATTTCAGAGACAAAAATTCGAGAAATCAGATCCGAAAAATTCTGTGTTTAAAGCATTAAACTGAGACGAAGATAAGCTTCCAGATCTGAATATCTGTTAAGGTGAGAACAGGGATCTAAATTTCTTAGATAATGAGCAACCATACGAGTTAAGAAATAATATAAAATATATGACACTGAACGGCCTAGATGACATTTTATTGGGGTCAGACGAATCCGCAAATTTCACAAGTAAGAATATGGTAATTTACTGAACTGAATTTAATATAATTTGAAACAAGCGACAGCAAGTCATTTTATATACAAAATTAGTTCACTTGCATCCTTCATGGCTCAGAAAAGGCTTCATTATGTCGTAAAATATAAAAATACATTATTGGATAGTTAATATAACATTAAAATTACTATTGGCTGCTTAAATTTTAGCTCCATTTACATCACCAGAATTATGTAAGAGTCACATGTCGTGGATTAATCTAGAAATGACGCAATGCAGAGAGAGGTTACTATTTTTAGAATTGAAAAGGGAAATTTACGTTGCGAATTTAATCTTTTACATATTCTTTATTTTTTTTACATATATATATAGAGAGAATGAGGTTAGATTTTTTTTCCCGCCAAATGACTGTAATCGGCTGGCTATCTTGTGAAATCTCCTAGTTTCACTCTCTCAGATAAAAACTGTAATATTCTTTTGCTTGCTATGTACGCAATCCAAAATTACACTTGTAAGTTAAATACTTTTCCAAATAAACCCAGCCCATACATCGAATACCTCCTGTTTCATTCTAAAATATTAAATAGAATTTGCAAGGAATTGAAGACTTTCCATGTATTGTCGCAGTGGTCGGCATATTAGAGATACGAAAAATCGCTCTTTTATGGGATGCAGCCAGCCCGTTCGACAGGTTTCGAACCCCTGACCAAACTACCAATATTCAGCGACTTTACTGTTCGGCCAGTGGTGGGCCTCCGAAGAATGGAAAAAATCGAACAAGCAGTGAGATCGGAAGAACCAACTCAATCAAACCGTGAGCTCCCTAGACCGATTTCTTTCAACTGTTGGTTTGGGATTCTCTAAAACAACATTTCTACATAGATTTAACATAAAAAATCCGAAATAATTTTTGTCAAAAAATTGGGAAATGATAAAAATTAAACTTACATTTAACACTAGAAGATAAACACTCCCCCCCCTAAAATGGGAATAGAACCTTCTTGGCATGATTCCAACAACAGCTCTCGTCGGCTTCCGCTGTTTTTTGAGAAGTCAGCGTTCATTCGCTCATTAAAATGAATCGGTTCTTTGAATCAGTCTGTAAACATATAGCACAATTCTAATCAGCATATCAGTCATCTTTTTTTTTTATTTATGTATCTTAATTTTAAGCACCGATATCTGATGCTGTGGATTCAAAGACTGAACAAGCAGCAGCAATAAAATTTTGCTCTCGAAATGTGTATAGCATTATCAAGCAGTTACCTACTGCGTAAAAGTGTAACTCTTCAGACTTAGCAACAATGGATTACTTTATAATGTAATATACGAGTGTGCTTATTTTCTCCCTCCTTTCTGCAGGCCTTCGTGGTGTAACGGTTAGCACACTCGGCGCGTATTCGAGAGGTCCAGGTTCGAGTCCCGCTGAGGGCATTGGTCATTTATTGTGTTTCCTGCTTCAAAAATAATCTAATGAATCTACAGTGGCCCTCGAACTCAAAGATGGTGGATGATGATTCTTCACAACCAGGATCTGGCGACTGGGTCCCATAATCCACAGTCGCCCTTTAAAAGGGGAGTGAGTATATAAGGTATTTCCTCTTTCCTTCCAGCATGCCTTCGTGGTGTAATGGTTAGCACATTCGGCTTGCATCCGAAAGGTCCAGGTTCGAGTCCCGGCGAGGGCCTTGCACATATTTCACGTCTCCTGCTTCTTCAAAATAACCTAATGGCTCCACAGTGGCGCCCGAACTAAAGAGATGGTAAATGAGGGTTTTTCACCACCAGGATTTGGCGACTGGGTCCCCTAATCCCCAGTCGCCCTTTAATAGGCGGAGTATTTTCTTCCTCCTTTCTGCATGCCTTCTTGGTGTAACGGTAGCACACTCGGCGCGTTTTCGAGAGGTCCAGGTCGGAGTCCCGGCGAGGGCTCTGTACATTTTTCACGTCTCCTGCTTCAAAAATCCTAATGACTCTACAACGTTATATTTCCTAAAGTCATACTTTATCTTAAAAAGCTATATTTTGACAAAATTTCAATTTTCTTTTAAAATAACAATGTCTTTTGTTTTTAAAGTTTTTTTTTTTTTTTTTTTTAAAGTATGCTTTGGAAAGTATTCGAAAAGTTATCTTTACGAAGGTATCTAAAAGCTCAAATGAAAAAGACGTGAATAGCGTTAGAAGGAATTATGGGTAGAAAGCTTAACAGTGACAAAAGCTCTTCTTTTCTGGCGTTCAACTTTTATGAATTCCATCTTAAAACTTTGTAGACGTTGTGTGTATGATTTTTATAATAGAAGTAGTTATACGAATCGCTCGAGGAAGAAAAACTAAGTAATGACAGAATGCAATTCTAAAGCGAAAAAGCATTAATAATCGGTATATATAAATTCAAAATAGGGTTTTTTAAAAAGTAAGTCTCTTAAAAATATTAATATCTTGAATGGTCTTCTTTCATTGTGCTGAAAATGAACATACGCGCTTTGTATCAGAAAGAGTTCCTTAAAATAATTTTCATTTGCGGAATAGAAATCTAGGCGTAATTAATTTGAAATCACTTTAATAAGTGAAGCTAATGTTGTTGTTAATATATACTTAATTATGGGCATGCACAGTTTCATTAGTCTGCCTATTAAAACCTTATTTCCCTTTAATTCTTTCATTTAAAAGACTACTCTAAAATGCATATTTAATGAGCATCTAAATGTACAGTGGAAATGTTTTTCGTATGTCATAACTAGTTTTAATTTTGCTGAGGGTTTTTTTTTTTTTTTTTTTTTTTTTTTTTTTTTTTTTTAAGTTTTGTGAAGTTTATATCTCTCGAAAAAATATTTCCGTGGACTATTTTCTTTAAATAAAAGAAAAGATTTAAATGCAAATTAAGGAAGAAAATTCTTTTTGCTTCCTTGTACGAAGTAAAGGAAGTAATCGTGAAACATGTGGGGTATCACATTTCAAAGGGAATCCATTTTGACTTGTTACCGAGCCCATTTGGACGATTTTTTTTTACGTTGCGTCTGTACGTACAGACAGAATAAAGGACTCTTTTTTCAAAACGAACTGTAAAATAGATTCAAAAGGGATTCCCCCTCTGAAGTCTGTGCGTACGTAAGTAGGTATGTATTTCGCAAAACTCAGAAATGATTACCCGTAGAACGTTGAAAATTTGTATATATAAACTACTATAACATCTAGTTGTGAATCTTCCTTTTTTTTGCAATCGGCAGTACCAAATGTGTATATATATATCACTGGCCATTAAAATTGCAACACCAGAAAAGAATGATCTAACGAAGGTCAAAATAATCACATGAAAGGAATGATGAAGTTGAGATATGCAAATGATTAGTTATTTCAGCGAATTTAGACAACGCAGGAGGGAGAAACAACATCCGAAGCATTGCATAAAAGAAAGGTGCAATGGATTTCCCATTCGGAAAGCGCTGTGTAAGATTGGAGTTTGCTCAGAATATCGTGCTATGCGTCGAATAAGAAGAGGAAATGCTTACCAGCAAAGTGTCGGAATTCGAAAGAGGCAGGATCGTTGTCTATCGAGAGTGTGGATTATCGTTCCGTGATATCGCCCGTCGCACTGGTCGACATCCAATGATCATCATGTGAATATGGAATCAATGGGTTTCTGAGGGTCATACTGAACTGCAGGCAGGGTCTGAACGTCCTCCCATGACTAACGCCCGAAAGGGCAGACATAATGCGACGTCAGCCCTGCAAAATCGTACAACCAAACATCACGGACCATTAGTCAGGAAATGAACATGTCTGCAGCACGTCCAGTGTCAGCTCGTACGGTGCGTCGACGTATGCAACAGCGTGGACTATCAGCACGGCGACGATTATTTCGTCTATCCCGTGACAATGCAGCATAGAGAGAGATGGCATCTCTGGTGCACCAAACGACAAAACTGGATACAGGAGTGCCACATTTTCGCCTTTCAGATGTTTCCCGGTTTCGCGTGCAGTATTCTGATGGCCGTATACGAGTCTGGAGGCTCCAAGGAGCCCCACGTCGCTTGGTTGCATTCGATATCGACGTAGGAGTACTGCGTAGGGGTGCATTGGAAACTCTACACGCTCATCTCTAGTTCAGCTCGATGGCAATTTAAACGCAGATGGGTACATTTCTGACATCTTACTTCCAGCGGTTCTGCCCTATCTTCGAGGCCCCTAGAGGCCATCTTCCAACAAGATAGTACAAGACCACATGCTGCAAGTCGTGTTCTGACCTTCCTCCATACACAGGGTATTTGACTGCTGCCCTGCCTGGTCTCCAGATCTTTCACACATTGAAATCATTTGGTCATTGGTTGCTGAGCGACTGGCTCGTCAAACCTCTCTAGCTAATACTGTTGATGAAGTGGGGCATAGATTTGAAGCAGCACGGAATGAGTTGCCCATTTCTGTCATCCAAGCCCAATTTGACTCCATGCTTAATGGGGTAAGCGCCGTTTTAGCTGCCAGGGATGGGAGCTGTTTCTACTAATTTCGCACCACCGTAAACCTCCAAACTGCTTATAAATATAATCATTTAGTCTTCATGTCATACTGTTTATGTGCAATAAATATCTTTTTTGTATTTGCTGTCCTTCTTGGTGTTGCAATTTTAATGACCAGCAGTGTGTATAACCCCCCCCCCCTTAACCGGCTTAAAAGTCCTTACCGAGCCTTTATTTTCGTAGTCATTGGTTCAAAGCCATGTACTTCCAATTACAGAAGCGATTTAAATGACAAAAATATTCATGTTTTGGCAACAACAAAAAAATCGATAATTAACGAAATGTAACTTTTAATGCGGTCTCTCGGTTCATATACTTATATTTGGAAAACTTTATACTCGTTGCGAAAAAATTAAAAAAAAAAAATAAAGTTACGAGAAGTTTGACTCTCGTACGACAAAAATTGAGCGGGACATTTAATTTCAAAATTTACACTTTTTCATGTTTTCAATTTGCCTTGAGAGCTCAGTTAATTATGTTAGACTAATTCGAGAAAGTAAGTTCAAATGAAATGCAGGAAAAAAAATCTGTATAATTTAATAGGCCGTACAAGGAAATCTCGTGGTGTCCTCATCAGATTTTTTATTGTTAGGTATTTTGTTATTCTTTAGAAGTACCTTAATTGCTGCGCAATGTATATAATTTTATATATTGTTTTCGTTTCTTCTTAGGCACAAAGAATGGGTTAGTGCAACATAATTCCCGGTTTCTATACTCATATTTGGGAAAGATTTATACTCGTTGCGAAAATATAAAATTACAAGATGTTTGATTTGAGAATTACTGTCTGAAATGTTGTACAGAATGGTCAAAATTTCGATAAAGTATAATCCGCATTGCTTTTGAATTATCATACATACACAAAAGAAACAAATATCAAAAGTAAATCTAATCTGCATTTTTCTATAAAAAATTTTTAAGAATAAATTTTTTTGTCTGTTTCAGGTATTAATTTATATTCTTACCCATAGTATATATAGCACATAGGTCATAAAAATGCACAGGGTGGTCATAAAAATACTTCTCCGATATGTGAACTCTTTGCGCCAATCCGCTCAACCAATCGAAATGAAATTTCAAGTAGTGTTATTTGAAGGTATGCGATCGGGATTGTGATGATTTAAGACTATAGAGCACTCACGGTTACGGTTACAGTGAAAAAATTTCAAATTTTTGAATGGCAACAGTCACTCTTCTCCTGACTGATCGACGCATTGAAAATTAATCAATGCATTGAAAAAAACATGTTTCTCGTTGGAACGATGCACTTATGATGGAAATTGCCGGCGTAACACATTTGCAAAGGACTAAGCATTGTAAAGGACCAATGCCAAGACAAGAGAGGACATAGAAAGAAATTTTTACTGGAATTGCAAATTTTCAACATGTACTACGTTTCAAGATAGAGTCATCTCCCGTAAAACTTCAGTTTCTTAGCCACCGTGATCCCCCGATCTCACCCCGATGGATTTCTGGTTCTGGGTTTACCTGAAATGTACAGTGTACACATCCAATCCACGAGATTTGTCAACACTTAAAGATGCCATAAAACGAGAAGTTATACAGATTTCTCCTACTACGTTATGTTCGTCATTGTTGTCGTGCACGTTCAAAACTTGTAATTAAAAAAAAAAAAAAAAAAAAAGGTTCCCCCACCTCTTTTGTACTGTCATTGGTCCTTCACAATGCTTATCTTTGCTAATGTTTTACGCTGGAAATTTCCGTCATACGTCTATCGTTCCAACGCCATTTATGGTTTCTCAATGCGCTGATCAGTTTGTGCATGAAAAAAGTGGATTCAAAAATCCATTCAAAAATTTCGGAAGGTTTTCACTGCAACCGTAATCGTGAGAGCTCTATTGCTTTAAATCATCACAATCTCGAGAGCATACCTTCAAATAATAATATCTGAAATTTCATTTCGATTGATTAAGCAAACCTGCAGCTAGGATTTGATATATTGTGCAAATGTGACCACCTTGATCACCTTGTATATAATTAACCACCTTGTATATAATCATGACCACCTTGTATATAATTAAAGAAAATTATGGAAACCCAAAACTACAAAATTAAGTTAAAATAACAAGGATTTAAAAAATATACTACAGTGTGTTCAAAATGCAACAATATGTGTGCTAATATAAATTGTGCATGGATATTAAAAATAAAAA